CCGTGGGACAGCCCTGGGCTGTGCTGTCCCTCTGTGTGCCCCTGACCCCCCGTGCCCTCAGCTTCCTGCACGCGCGGCTGCGCACGGCCACGCTGCGGCACGACGCGGATGGCCAGGCCACCCTGCTCAACCTGCTGCTGAGGAACTACCCGCACTACAGCCTCTACAGAGAAACTCGTCTCCAAATCTGTGTTCCCTGAGCAGGCCAACAACAACGAGTGGGCTCGATACCTCTACTACACAGGTCAGGGGGCTGAAACACATCATCTAGGCAGACTTTACTTGGTGTAGTAAAAGGCTTTAAAAATCTGTTTTACTTAGCCCCAAACAGGAAGAAGACACAATTAGCAACAATGACTTGGTTGTGGAAGTGGTAATTTCCGAAACTGCTCCTGCTAGACATGCCAAAGTAGATCTGTCTACAACAAGAGGTCAAAAAACCAGCAGTGAAGGCAGCATAAGCTAGACAGCTCAGGTTATACATACAAATCCCTACAGCCTGAACTCAAGCCTTTAACTGATTTAACATTCAACTCACCTTGTCTTCACTGCTGTCAACCTGACATACCTTGTGCCTTTTCAACCTTGGCATTGGAATGTGCTGCCCAGGGAGGTGGTGGATTCACCATCCCTGGAGGTTTTCAAGCTGGGACTGGATGTGGCACTTAGTGCCATGGGCTAGTGACCAGGGTAGGGTTGGACTCAATGATCTTAGAGGTCTTTTCCAACCAGGTTCATTCTGTGATTCTGTGACTGCACAGGTCAGGGGGGCTCAGGGCCTGGACTGCACAGGTCAGGGGACTGGGGGCTCAGGGCCTGGACTGCACTGGTGAGTGTGGGACAGGTACCTGTGCACACAGGTGAGTGGTCCTGTGTCCCAGCACCGCAGCTGTTGGGCTGTGGGTCCCATTGGAGCAGCTGGGGATGGAGTTCCCAGGCAGGGTGACAGCCCCATGCAGGTGTGTGGTTGGGCTCACAGTGCCTCTCCCCCAGGACGGATCAAGGCCATCCAGCTGGAGTACTCGGAGGCTCGGCGGACGATGACCAACGCCCTGCGCAAGGCCCCGCAGCACACGGCCGTGGGCTTCAAGCAGACTGTGAGTGGGGAGGGCTGGGATTCCCTGGGGTCAGGGCTGGGACCTCCCAGGGTTGGGACCTCCTGGGAATAGGTCTGGGACTCCCCAGGTTTGGGCCCTTCCAGGGTCAGGTCCAGGACCTACCAGGATGTCGGACACCACAGAATTGGGTCTGGGACCTTCCAGGGTTGTATCCAAGACCCCCCAGGGTTGGGCCTTGCAAGGACAGATGTGGGACCCCCCTCAGGTTTGGAAGCTCCTAGGGTTGGGTCCAGGCCCCCCCAGATTTGGGCCCTGCAGGGAGAGGTGTTGCACTCCCTGGAGTTGGGACTTCCTAGGGTTGGGTCCAGGACCTCCCAGGATATCAGGCCCCACGGGGTCGAATCTGGGACTTGCCAGGGTTGTGCTCTGCAGGGATGGGGACAGGTCTGGGACCTCCCAGGTTTGGGTGCTTGGGGACTCACTGAGGGCCTTGCTGTGCTGCAGGTGCACAAACTGCTGATCGTGGTGGAGCTGCTGCTGGGGGAGATCCCGGACAGGCTGCAGTTCCGACAACCCTCGCTCAAGCGCTCACTCATGCCCTACTTCCTGCTCACCCAGGGTACAGTTCTCCTGCCCTGCTCCATCCTCCTGCAGTGTTGTAGAGTCATGGAATAGCCCCAGTTGGAAAGGACCTGCAAGGATCATCCAGTCCAACTCCTGCCCTGCACAGGACACCCCAACAATCTCCCCTGTGCCTGAGGGCCAAACACTCCCTGAGCCCTGTCAGGCTTGGGGCCTGCCTGGGAGCTATTGCAGTGCCCAAACACCCTCTGGGGGAAGAGCCTTTCCCTAATATCCACCTAAACCTCCCTTGACACAGCTCCAGCCATTCCCTGAGTCCTGTCCCTGGTCACTAGAGCAGAGGTTAGTGCTGCCTCCCAGGAGGAAGCTGTGACTGTGATGTCCTGTTTTTGGAGGGAGAGGGAAGCCCTTGGGGGGAGCAGGGGGAGTTCTCTCCCCTCACTGGGACTGAGCTGCAGGTGCCACTTGGGAAAGGAGGAGGAGGGGATGGCAGGGAAAGTCAGCCCTACCTCACTTTCCCTAGCCTTTCTCCTTCCCCCACTCCCCCCTTCTCCCCTGCAGCTGTCAGGACAGGGAACCTGGCCAAGTTCAACCAAGTCCTTGACCAGTTTGGGGACAAGTTCCAGGCAGATGGCACTTACACCCTGATCATTCGGCTGAGGCACAACGTCATCAAGACAGGTACGAGGGTGTTTTAGGACCCCTTGGGTGGCACCCCAGGCTGGGCAGGCCTGGGGGGCACCAGAGCCAGGGGGTCTGCATCCCATTGTCCCACAGGTGTCCGAATGATCAGCCTCTCCTACTCCCGCATCTCCCTGGCTGACATTGCCCAGAAGCTGCAGCTGGACAGCCCTGAGGATGCAGAGTTCATTGTTGCCAAGGTAAGGGCACAGGGAGGCACAGAGAGACTCTGTCAGGCTGGAAAAGACCCCTGAGATCACTGAGTCCAACTTGTGGCCTAACACCACCATGTCAACTAGACCTTGGCACTAATGCCATGTCCAGTCTCTGCTTAAACACCTCCAGGGAAGGTGACTCCACCTCCCTGGGCAGCACATTCCGATGCCTGAGCACCCTTTCTGGGGAGAAATTCTTCCTAATGTCCAGCCTAAACCTCCCCTCGTGCAGCTTGAGACACTGTCCTCCTGTCCTGTGGTCCCTCAGAGGCCTGGGGTGTCCACAGCCCCCACTCTGCCCTGTCCCCTCCCTGTGGCACTGCTGGGTTGGGTTGAGGCTCCTCCAGGGAGCACTGCGGGCACTCAGGGCACCACATCCCCACTCTGCACTGTGTCCTGGGCCCTGGGGGACAGGGAGTGCCCCATGCCCTGCCCCGTGCCCCCAGGCCATCCGTGACGGTGTGATCGAGGCCAGCATCAACCACGAGAAGGGCTATGTGCAGTCCAAGGAGATGATTGACATCTACTCCACGCGGGAGCCCCAGTTGGCTTTCCACCAGCGCATCTCCTTCTGCCTGGACATCCACAACATGTCTGTCAAGGTGAGAGGGCACTCCCAGGTGTGGGGGACAGAGCTCACACCTCCTCCTCTTCCTGGAGGAACCTTCTGCACTCAGCCCTGAGCTGTGTGCTCTAGGGTGGCTCTGCTTGAGCATGAGATGACACGTTTTGGTCCCTTCCAACCTGATTGTGTGATTCCTCCTCTTTCTCCAGGCCATGAGGTTCCCACCCAAATCCTACAACAAGGACTTGGAGTCTGCAGAGGTGAGATCACCCCTGGGTCTGTGTGGCCACCAGGGCCCTGTGCAGGCTGTGGCTCCTGTGCCCACGTGCCCCGCCCTGTGCCTTTGCCTTGCAGGAGCGCAGGGAGCGTGAGCAGCAGGACCTGGAGTTTGCCAAGGAGATGGCAGAGGACGATGATGATGGTTTCCCATGACCCAGGGCTTGCCTGTGCTTTTGTATTTGCCCCTGGGGCAGATAGTGGCTTGGCAGGGTCCCCCCCAGCCCCCCTTTTATAAACCCCTGCATGTCTGTACTGTGGGAGGGCACACGGGGGGTTCCCCTGCAGCCCCCGACCCTGCAGGAGCTCCTCCCCAATAAACACCCCTGGAAGGATCTCTGGTGACACTGGAGCCGATGCTGTGGGGAGAGCAGGGCTGGGGTAAATGGGGGGCAGGAGTTGGG